CTGTGGTCTTTCGTTGTGGCGCTCTGCCTCTCCATAGGAATCTGTGAAACTTGTCCTCATAGTCTACATGACTTTCAGTCTCATCTGCAGACACAAAAACAAGCACTTTCAGGTGACAAAGCTACATCCCAACATTCATATTCATACAACTCAACTCAAAAACAACAAAGAGACATGTGCAATGACCTTCAAAGACACTTTACATTCTGACAATGTCAAAGTAATTTAGAGCAGTGGTCTCCAAACTTTAGGAAGAGTCAGAGGAGAAGATCGCCCATTTTATTTCTGTCCATTCAATATAAAGGTGCACTAGTTATCAGCTTAGCATAAAGACTGTAAAAAGGGGGAAACAGCTAGCCTAGCTAAAGGTAAAATAAAATTTGCCTACCATCACCTCTCATAATTTCCTGGCCGAGAAATGACTTTCTGAAGGCCATTTGTCAACCTCAAGTAGCCAGGCATCCAGCAGAGACTTCAGGAAGTGACTTTTCCCGTCCAAGAAATAGTCTGGCACCTAACCCCCCTTAACACTACAACATTTTGGTTTTACAAAATTTAGTTTTTTGAACAGATTAAACAAACTACGTCAATAAGTGAGCTTTAAAGGTGTTGGCAGGCCATTTTTGTCACCTTTGGCCAGAACCAAGCCAGCTGTTTCCCCCTAGTTCTAGTGTTTATGCTAAGCTACACTAACTAACCAGCTCGTGGCTCCAGCAAGAGCGGTATCACTCTTCTAATCTAACTCGCAATAAGAAAGCAAATGAATTTACTGAGACTTGAAGGATTTTTTGAGGCTTGACTAGGTGAAAATATCCATCCAAACAGAACAATCTAGAGTGAAGTCAGAAAAAAATAAATATAACTATGTGTAACAGAAATGTATTTTCTCTTTAAATCATTTTGACAGGTCAGGAACAAGTACTGAAGAGCACAAACATGACTAAGACTCTGTTAGCTAACCATGGACACAGGCCTGGGGTCTTCTGCCTTTATAGAAACTCCTGCCCCCTTCTCTCTCTGCTATGCACTGGGTCACACTATGGCAGGTCACACTGAGGTGTAATAGCAGCCATTTTCAACCCAACTCACAACTGAGACTCTGTTTTTCAAAAGCCAGGAATCAAGCACGGGCGGCCTCATAACAATGGGAGCTAATAAGCAAGAGGTGAGGAGGCTGACCTCATAGCGGCCTTCTGTCTGGGTCAAAGCTCGAAGCTTTGAAGAGGATGAACCGAAGGGGGTCTATTTCTGCCTCTTTCCATTTCTGTCCCACTCTCCAACAGTTTAAACTCCTTCTTACCCTTGACACATATCTCTACCAGTCCATACCACTCTCCACAGCTGTCGCACAGCAGGCTAAAGGCATGCGTCCACTGGGCATTACGTAACCTGGCACACATGTGTAAAGCAGCTCATCTCCCATCTCATACCCTGAGTGCCCCTTTAGACGGGCATTAGGAAAGGATGGAGGGTCACCACACGGCACACCTGTCAACAACAAACAGAGATGCATGTAATCTAAAAAAAAGCACATTCAACACACAAAATGGAAGATAAATGTTTTAAATTGTTAAACAAACTATTAGGTAAAGATCATGCGACCCCTATTTAATACTACACAGTGCAGCTAAAGAAACATGACTCATTATTATTATCCAGCTTTACAGAAACACTATCCCATTTGTAAACAGAAAGCGATAAGAGTGTCTCATGGGACAGGAAGCAGTGGCTGCAATTTTGACAAACATGACCACTAACTGTCAATGCCACTGGGGTGAGATAAATGCTATGTATTTGCTTGACTCCGGTCTTATTATTCATGGTAATTATACCAAGACACAATATTTTATTTCTGTTATCTTCTTTACTTCCCCTTATTTACATCCCCAAATGAAAAAACTTTAATAATGCATTCAGCTGCTGTTTTATTATAATATTAAACATTGAAAATCAAGTGTTAATTTTCCAGAATGAAGATCTAATATTTTCAAAAGAAACTACTGAATTTAAAGTGGCATTACTGTAAAACAAAGTTAATTAGCAGGTTTTAACCAATTACTAATTACTACAAATTAAAATCATTTACATTTACATTTTTCAAAACAAATAATGTTCCTTCCTTCCATGTAGACAACGGTTGTCAGTTCCAAGCTGATTTTAATCTTGCTTGAGCTGGAGAACCTGTGTCTGACTTTACAGCTGACTCTGCAGTGCTGGATGTCAAACTTTCCCATCAAAGCACCAAATGAATGTACACTTCTTGCATTCTAACGCAACAATAATGTATAGTTGCTATGTTATAACAATAATGTATAATTGTTTATCTTTAAAGTGCTTTACAAATGTATGGACATTTGAACATCTACAATGTCACAAGAACTCTACAAACTCCAAAGACCTTGTGATATGATTGAAAGCTCCAGAGCTGCTGGACCTCACAGTGTGACTAATATCCATTTATAGAAAATAAAGGAAGATCCCATGTGCAATGTGATCTATTATAGCGACTGCCTGTAACATGTTGCGATGTAAAGTTTACAGCACTTACAGTATTAAAAATGCAAAAAAAATTAAATGGTCTTCAAAAACAATTTTTAGCAAGCAGAATTGATTTAATTTACTGTAATGTCATCTTTAAACTACATGTATTGTTTGTTTCCCTGATAATGGTGCTAATATGGCACCTTATACCTCCAATCATAACCATATCCATAATGGTAGCCATAACCTTGACTATGAAGCTGTGTCTTGCCTCCACTACTTTAAATGGATCTGTCCTGTAGATTTTTCCTACAGCGGAGAGTTCGTTCCCACCTCAGGGTGTGTAGTATATGTATAAACAGCCACAGTAGCTCTACTGTTTATGAGGAAGGGCTGGAGTACTCTTCTGGGTGGCATCCAATAATAGTCTGATCCAAAACCAACCACTGACTGGCCCCCTCCCCTCACAGATCCATGCCAGTGGGATAGGTGTGTGGAATTTAGCTTCAGCTCCGTCAGGGCTTAAATACATTCATGGATCGAGTTACGTCATCACATACGCATCACTTGCTCAGATATTCCTCAACGACATATATGAGGTATACAGGTATGAGTAAAAATATATAAGTGACAAGCACACACACACACACACACACACACACACACACACACACACACACACACACACACACGTTGAAGGTAGAGGTGTACATGGAAGCAACGCAGGGACAGAGGGCCTCTTTCACATCTCAGGAAACTACACACAAATACTGACCTTTGTCTTTGATACAGAAGGCGTCCATGTGTGTGGCGTCCTCTGTGGCATTTTCTGTCCTCACGTCCACAGCTTTCAGTGCACTCCCCACAATATTACACACCGTGGTCCTGCAAAGATAGATAGATAGATAGATAGATAGATAGATAGATAGATAGATACTCACGTACACACAAACACACTCATTAATTACAATGTGATTGTGAGAGCAAATGGCCTACAGTGAAGCATTTAAGCACCCCTAAGGGACTCTAGGATTGAGGGTGGTCATAATTAAACCTAGTGTGTTTACTTTTAACACACTCTCATTACATTACATCACACTCACATCCTTTTGATAGTTTAAGTGAATTTAGTGGATAAAAATGTACTTTTACTTAAAGTAGGATTATGAATGCAGGAGTTTTACTTGTAATTGGTATTATTCCAAAAATGTACTGGTACTTTACGTAAGTAAAGCTGAATATGTCTTCTACCAGTAATTACACTGAGATGTCACTGATAAAAGTGAGTGAGAGCTCACATGTGAAGCTGCAACTCTGGTTTGTATCCAGTATGTATATGGTTAACATGGTGACACTCACGGACAGATATGTACAGTACTTGCTGCTCTGATTCGTTACTTATCCAAATATTATTACAGCATGACATCAGTGTCCAGGAACATGGTGCAGTATCAGCAGTTGTAGCCTGTGGCACAACATTATCTCACTATGGCACGTTACGAATAGATGTTCCCATGCAGAAGCCTGAAGTTACTGCCAACTTCATATAGCCCAATCATAACATTAGGGACTTAATATTATACTCATTCCACAGGGAGCAAATGAATAATGAGCTCAGTGCACAACGCTTACAAGCTGCAGAGGCAAAAAAATGCTGAGTAAATAGTCTATTTTTGTTGCCACATTAAGGTTTATAGCATCATAGCACCAGATAAGAATGACTCAAACTTCCCAGACCCATCAAATCATGTTCCCATTGCGGCTCCCGTCAACAATCAAAGATGTGATTAAAAGTGAGACATATTAAACTTTTCCTTAATGACAGGTTTGATTGGTAATATTACTTATCAAGCCATTAAATGGGAAAGGTACTGCCCCAGACATGTGTGTGAGTCTGTGTGTGTATGCACTTGTGTAACAGAGTTAATCAAAGCATCAGTAATTGGAAAGAATTTGACTGGCAGTGCAGCGAGACTGTGAGAAGTGGTGTGAGTCATACCGCATGCTTGTGCCATGCTAACTTCAGCTTATAAGGACAAAAGTCTGAGAAAAGAGAGAGCGAAATCGCCAACAAAACACTCAGAGAGAGACAAAAAAACACAGAGACTGTTTTTACATTAAACTGCAGCTCCTGCAGGCATCTGTGCGTGTGTGTGAGAGAGAGAGTGAGAGACTGACCTTTCGCAGGGGCAGGGAACAATTCACCTGACTAAACAACCATTTCTCAAAACTATTAAAGGGAACACCCAAAGGTATGTGTACGTCTGTGTCTGTATGAAACTGAGTGTTAATTCAGACTGTTGGTATTGTGTTTGGTCACTGGGGCAGCAGATCTATGAGTGACAGGTAAGAGGAAGGCGTTAAGGTGGGAGAGTCAATCTGAGAAGCACTTGTTATTACGCAACAGACCTAAACATTATGTCAGTGCAACGCGACAACATAGTTCACACCACTTGATCTTTCACGGACTACCCTGCTTGTACTGCATGACAGCCTCCAAAAACACCCTGAAATTCTGTGATATGTTCTGCTCACCTGTGAGGGTGCAGAGGTGAGGCAAACAATTAAGACTGAGAGAGAGATAAGAGGGAGTGGGTTACAGGGAAACTGAGTGGGAGTGGATTTTGTGGATGAGAATTAAAATTTGAAAATCAGAAACCCCTGAAATATAGAATGACATGGAAAGATTACAGTTAAGTGGCAGACAGCAGATGTGGGGGAGAAGATTTTTTTCTAAAGAGGTTTAGAATATGTGCTGCATACAACACCCCCTCTATCCTTAGAGTGTAGCGTAAGGTGTAGAGCTCCTGACCTTTGCATAAAAACTGGGAGAGGTTGTACTGTATATGTGATGACTCAACAGACAGGACTGTATGGGAGACACTATAGCCAAGAAGCCGGCAAGAAAGGAAGAAGGATGTCCCGTCAGCATGCTCTGAAATATGTGATTGGCAGGAGGTGTGTCTGTGTTGTGTCAAATCCTGGTCACATATAGGAACAAATCAAAAGAAGAAGAAACAATAACAGAGATAAAATGTCTGTGATATAACACAGAGAAGCACCTCTGGTCTGCTTTTACATTACTTTCTTCACCAACACAGAAGTAGGATAAGGCGAATCCAGGTGGAAAAGTTAGGGGGAGGGGGGCATGAACTTAAGACAGAAAGTCCCATAGATGGGTGATACGCTGTGAAACATGGTAAGCGGGTGTGAAAGCTGTCCACTGGCCAAGACATAGAGAGCAGGGAGCGTGAGGAAAGAACAGCTTTTCTTTTTCCATATTTTGGTATCCATATTGTGCCAGAGATTGACCAGATAGTCTAAACTAACTATCTACTATCGTAGACTCAATAACAAAATCAATAGATAGATGGTGTTCTGTATGGCCGAGATGGCTCCATGTGCCCGATTTCTAATGGTTTACCGGGCAGCTCAACTTTGCATTGCTATGTACTATTTTACCCCTGATTCTCTCCCTGCATGGATGGAGATTGAGACTCTACATTTATTCAGCTGATATCAAGAAACTAAGAAAGCAAACAAAGAATCCCTTTGTTTATAATACAATCAACATTTGGTATGAGGCGTGGAAATTTCTAGGTGAAAAACATTCTCTGTCAGGCCTTATTCATATATGAGAGTATAACCAGAGTTTATGCTAGAGTTTCACTCCTGGGAGAGCTGATCCGGGTTTCCAACATTGGGCCAGCAAAGGGATTAAGGAAAGTTCTAGATTAGAAGATAAGATCTTTGTGCCATTTAAAGAACTCATAGTAATTTTTTTTTATATTTACTGCTTCCCCACGATGTCCCAGAACCAAAATCTAGCAAATGTTAGCTTATATGCTAAACTAAAATGAACATGGTAAACATTATACCTGCTAAACAATGTTAGCATTGTCATTGTGAGGATGTAAGTTCTCTATCATCAGCATTCAGCTTAAGCACAGTTTGGCTTTGTACCCCTGTTTTGTTTGTTGTTCCTTTTATCTTTCTTATTTCTTTATGCTTGTCCTTAATTAAGCTTAAAGTGCAGCTTAAAGAGAGACAGAAATAACATGTTTGAGGAATTATTCTTTATGTACTATAACTTTTGATAAATTCAGGAAAGTATTTCAGCTCAACTTAAAAAAATCTGTGTGTTATTGAGCAACATATACCCTGCACTATACGCATCACCTGTCACCACCAGGATCACTGCAGTACATTTTCTGTCTATCCTCTGCATATACTTCTAAGCATCGAAGTTGTCAATCAAACACCTGTCTATAACTGTGTAACGATGTTCTTTAAGCTATATAAATCAGCTGTCTCTCTGCCTGTCTGTCTGTTGCTGTCCCTGGGTGCTGAAAGCTGTGGAGATGAGAGGTGTAAATGGAGGCAGTTGTCGACATGACACCCCGGCTCAGAATTCCCTCCTGCTCCAGGAAGGAACAGAGGAGTCTTTCTCCCTCTCTTCCTCTCTCCTTTTTCTCTTTCCCCCCTGAAATGTGTCACTCTCTTCTTCTAGCTTCCCACTCCCTCTATAACTGCCACTGCTGCCTTTCCTTCTTTTCTCTTTCATCCATTCACCTCTGTCACACACACAGAAGCGCACTCACCAAAATGACCTTTGACATCTCCAGAAACCTCAAGTCTCCCTACATGTCCCTTAAAACAATGAAGACCCTCATGCACAAGTACATACACATGTCTTTTTCTTACCCCACTGCTCCTCCGTAGAGCCACCCACGGGTGCATGGGGAGAAGTGGCACTCTACCACAGCATAACGGAGCTCCTCTGATGAGGCCAAGCGGGAATGTCGTGAGGCACAAGCCCGCTGAGCATCTCTGAAGCCCTGCAGGCCGGAGGAATTCCTCAGGTCCATAACGAACACTCGACCTGAGAAGAGAGACAGCAGGGAGTGAGAGGAAAGCCTCTATAACCTCTTATATTACGTTTTTATGACAACTGATGTAGACATTCGACCTGTGAGCTTCTGGGTACTGGCAGGGTTTGTAAGAGTTAGACACCTCGCCTAATTCATAGAGAGCCTATTTGGTCCAAATCTAAACAATATTCATACACTCATGTTTTCAATCTTACATGAAGACAGATTCATTTGTTCAAAAAAAGACCTGCAGGTTACTTGAACATGAGATCAGAAAAGGAAGGCTAAAAGGCCTGTTTTTGATCTCAGGGAAACTATGTTTTAAAAATAGGTTATATTTGATCTTAAATGTCCTCAGCCATATTTTTCAGCACTACCCATTTTTTGGAGCATCCATACTACATAGTTACCACTGACTCCAGGTTGGGATGATGTAAGACATAAAACAGTAAAGCAGACCATGCAGATATATGGATTTTGAGGCTGATAAAATAACATGTTTGTGTTGTAAGGATCAGTTGTCTGGAGTGAAGCTCCTCAGAGAAGTTTGATATCTGCTCTGTTCCCCTCCTGTGATACAGATGTGATCAATTCACTGCATCACAGCAGCACACTGTCACTTTCATTATCACCTCATTGTCACATCATTAGCTGGGTCTAAAAGCACTAAAAAAAGCTGTTTAACATGTACAATATGTGTAAGAGTTAAATCTTCTAAATATTTAGATTAAGCTTCATCTATAAATGCTTGAAGTAAAGATGACTGCACGCGCACATCCATTACGCACAGCTTTATAAGACGTTACATGGCGTTTTAGATGTAGCATGAAATATTTATGTAAGAGAAATAAAACACGGTTGAGAGGGGACGTGCTTTCTGGCAACGATTAGCCAACGAAACGCACGAGATTAAAGCAGGTGCCAACTGTTCGCGCGCTTCCACCAGCTCTGAGTAACGGTTATCACCAAACCCCAACTTTCATGATGGAAACTCGGTGACACTCATTTATTATTCCAATAAAATAAAATAAAATAAAAATAAAAGCTTACAAATTGTGAATTTATAATTAAGTCTATAGTTTTGTTGGATCATTTATGTGGTAGCCTATCTTTTTTATAACGCCCCTGTTACAATAGTTTAAAATATCAAACTTACCGTCTGCATTTACTACAACAGAGGTCACCACAAGGCATCCAGAGAGCAATGATAGAAAATTCGCTTACAACGATCCAGCATCTTTTTTTTTTTTACGCCTCCGGCTAAACCTCACTTTTGATGTTGGAAAAAACGTGTCCAAAAACTTCCAAATGAATTCACAATCTTGCGGGTGAAAGTGACGCTGGAGAGCAAACTCCCGCTACGTCCCTCCTGGTGGACAGAGGTGGACTGAGCAGCGGGAAGGTACAGGCTTGTTGACAAAGTGCGGCTGATAACGGGAAGAAAACGGTCGGAGCGGCTCAAGAGCGAGGCGCAGTTTATCTCCCCAAATAGTCCCCCTCGCAAGCAGCTGGAGCGCCGGTGTGAAAACTCGCGTGTCTCCGTTAGTAAATACGTCACGGCTGAAACTCTTGAGGGTGGGCATAACACCTGTTCCGGACTGCTCCTTTACAGAGAGAGCGCATGTAGAGAGAGACAGAGAGGGGGTGTTAAAGTCGCTTAGGTGTCTTTGAGCAAGAAATGCTTTTGACTTACTTTACTTGTTGACCTGGATAAAAGATAAATGTTGAACATGTAACGAAGTGTGCCTTTGCGTTGAAGAATAACACACTCCACTGCGCTGCATTGCTATTTAAAGACAATTTAACACCCAGTGGCTAATAAGGGACCTCAGGTTCGGTACGCTCAAATAGGCTACAGCTCATCCTTTGAGCATAAGAATTTTAATTAGTATGAATTGTCCTCTCTGCTATAGGCCAAGCTTTCCTCTATTAGTTGGTGTGTGTGTGTCTCGCGCGCACACCGACCGTGTGTGTCCCATTTGGTAAGGGAGATAAAGACGGATGACCATAGCCCATAGAGAGCTTTTTGGAACATGGAGGCATTGTTTCAGTGAATCTGCAGGTGAAGATAACCAACCCACATAGCATCAGCACATACAGGATCCACACCACCACTAAGCCTAAAGCAATATTATAACCTATAAAAACTATATACACAGAGAATAAAAATTATCACAATGTGCACACATGCTTTTTATATAAATGAAAGCATTACACATAAACAATATATTTCCCTCTCATGTATTTGAATGTGCATAAACATCACATGCAAGAGTTTTGCAGTATTCCTCTGAGTGAATATGTAGGTACTCATCTACAAAGGACAAGAATGGAATATTTAGAAGCTGAAAGTTCATGCTTGACCTTGGAAACAGTTATTGATAAAATAATCTTGCCTCATTGTCTCTTTAGTAGCTGTTCTGGAGTTTTTACCATGATCCTCCTCAGCAGATCTGTGTAGTCCAGTTGTCACGGAGCTGTAGATGATCACATTTCCATTTTCTGACTTTTCCAAGGTTGTCTCAAATTTTAAGCCAATGTGGCCAGGAAGTCTATAAAATCAGAAAAAAATGGAAATTAGAATTTGACACTTCAACAACTTCATTTGCTGAAAGCTACTACAAAGTGGACCTTGTATAGCGAGATTGTCGATGGTATAAGAAATATTCAGATCCTTGACTACTAAAATGAGCAACACCACAATGTAAACATACTCCATTACAAGTGATGGGTGAGTTTGGAAGGAGAGAAAACTGCCAACATTGTGGGACAGGAGCAATATTCTGAATGTGTGTGTGTGGGGGGATACAGGAATCAAATTATTTTTAGAAGGGAAAACAATTGAAATGAGATCAAATACACAGCGATATAGAAATTCCTTAAGGAGTGACACCTTTATTGAGGATTCACACTTAGTCATCTCTCTCCACACCCCAGCTTTTCCATTTTCATAGCTCTCTGTGTTCCCCCAGAGGAGTCACCATGCGCTGCCGCTGCATTGTGGCTTTAAATCTCTCACTGATGTTTTTCCATCTCAGTCACATTATTTTTTTCAACCAGCTCTCGGGCACCTCTCGTGCTTTCAGCTCCTGTTCAGAGGGGTCTGAATGAGAGAGTTTCAGGTGGGCTGGGATCCTGACTCACGCACGGGGGGCTATTTCTGGAGAGGTGATGGGGGTTGTGGAGGAGAGGGGAGAGGGATGGCGAGCAGGAGAGAGACAGTGATTCACACCTGCACCATCTCAAAGAGGCTGGTGAGAATTATGTTTGCTGCAGGTGTCCGTGCGGTGGTGAGGGGGCTCCGTTAGGGGACAGACACACGTGCAGACTTCACACAGGTGTGTAATCTCACAGGACTTCTAGTACACACCCATTAGACAATCTGTGCAGCGGAAGTAAACACACACACAAATGCGAGCACACACACTAACCCTATGATTGCTCTGAGTATGTGTGAGACCAGTGACTTCCCATGTGAGACACGTCCTGTCAGAATGAGGTGTGTAAAGCAGGTGTGTGTGGTTGACTCAGAGGAAATCACTGGTCATACTTGTGCAGCCAAGGGACAGAGGGAGGTATGGCTTTGTCTCCACGGCAACAGCCTCCTTAAACCTCCGTGAGGAGGTCCAGAAAAACCAAGAGATGAAGCTGCATGCACGAAAATTGGTTTTGAGAGAGATATGGGGTGTGTTTGTGTGTGTGTGTCCATGTCCTCTGAAAACTCTGTATCTCCAAAATGTCTATGTTTTCATGAGCTCAGGAAAACATAGACACTTTGGAGATTTCAGCTTTGTGACTGTGCACTTTTTCAATAAACCATGTGTTTTTAGAAGAGCTGTTTCAGCGACAAAACATGAAGCAACAATTAATCCTTCTGTTAAAGTCACCAAACAAATAGAGATATGTGGTTTTTACTTCATATGTGTGTCAGTGTGTCTGAACCTGCAGTAAACAAGCATGTGTGGAAAAACACAGGGAACAGAGTAAATACAGTAAAGTGACAAATAGTAATCAAACTGTAATAAAATAAACAAAAACATGTTCAAAATACATAGCAAACTCAGATAAATACAAATTAATAGGAAGCAATGAATACAGACTGACAAAAAGGCCAAACTACATATACACCTTTAAATATATTGGATGAAGCACAGAAGGTAACAGTATTCAAATCCCTATTATCTTCCTAAACATATTATATCAACAGCTGAGGTACACTTTCCCATCTGAAAGGTTCTACAGAAATATTATGTGTTCGACATAGACGGCCTTGCTTGTCATCACTGGAGTCATTGCGATCATCAGGACACATTCAACACTGAGCTGCCAGCCACAGCAGAGTCAGGATGAGAAGGGCATGGAGCTATTCAAAGAACTGACATAATTAATTTGACTTTTAATGAGAGATTGTTAATTACCATGCAACGCAGTGAGATGGGGTGGCACAAGGATTGAAAATGTGTTGCACGGAGATGAAAGACTAAGCGTCATAACATAACATGTATGTGTTCATGCTGAAAGGCACGCAAGAAGTGCTTCTTCTATGTGTGTCATCTCAGTTCCATATTTATGTTATAGAATAATACAGTTAATAAGCTTTGGACATACTTTATATGACTGTTAATAACTACAGTTATTAGCTATATGGCCATGTTTGAAGAAAACAGAATGCAAATCCTGTGTTTATTTTAACAAGACTAAATGGCTTTAAAAAATGTAGCTTGACAGACACATGTGGGTGAGAGTGAAGTAATCTTATGTTTGTCTTACTTTTTCAAACATATTTTGTGTATTTTGTCGTTTGTGTTTCTGATTTTCTTCACTTAAAATAAAAAAAATAAGTTATGCCATGAAGAAGCCTTCTGATCTTTGCCGGGGGGATCCAGAGAAAATAAGGGACAATTACATTTTCCTGATTTGTTTTGTGTACTAGTTATTCCAAATAAATCCCATAAATTAGGTTGACGTTTCTGTTTGGATGTTTCTCTCTCTCCACCAACATTCCTCTCTTTTTTAACAACAGCTTAATAATAACAAACCTTTCTAAATATCACATGGGACTTTTATCAGGGCTAAAAGAAAATCCTTGCAGGAGCCTGGACATTCTTCAGTGAAGGATCAGTGGCTGGCAGGCAGACCGTGCTGCCAGGCTGCATACCTCCCCTGACAAGCTCCACCAATCAAATGGTTATGATTTCATTTATGGTTAGGATTAAAGTTTGCCAATATAGCGAAGAAGGTGGGGTTTATATGCAGCCTGACTTCCTGGTGGGTTTTAATAGTATCAACTGGCATTAATGGCAGCAAAAGTGCAGGTGGATGTCTCTCTGTCATTTCAGTGCCCCACTACGCATACACAACACCAGCACACCTGAATATAATTCAGTCAGTAATGTAATTATTTACACCTATGTTACACAAGTCAAAGTCCGCAAGTACATTCTACTATTTACTGCACACCTTTAACCAAAGTGGAGAAACTGTGTTGCTATGGCTGCATTTATCTGCTCCTTCCCTTTTTCTGTGCCTTGTATTCTTATGCTGTAATGTTATACTGTATAACCCCAGATTTGGTGTGTGGCAATCTGATAAAACACAAATTCATTCAGTAATATGCACAACATAAGTACAGGATCAGAATGAGGCCCTACACATTCAAAGTACACCCACACATGTTTTCACTTCCCTTTTCTAATTAGACCTCTCCTCAGGAGAGTGTTTATGACTGAGTTTGACTGACATCTGCCTCACTTTCCTTGTTAAGGTTAACGGTACAATAACACTTTCCCCTTATTATAGGCCGTTTTCACAGCAGGAATTTCGGCTTAGCAGCAAAAGCAAAGGTGTTATTACTAACATTAATGCCCAAGTAAGCCGTGACAATATCAGGACCCCGAAACCAAAGCAGCATAATGGAATTAAGCCATCATTTGTTTTATTATTTACACTTGTGCTTTTACTGTGAAATGTCAAAATGTCTGCTATGAAAAAAGCCAGTGAACTTGTGGCTATGCGGCTCTGAGGCAGGTGCCAGCTTTGCCCGGTTGGTAATCAAGCCATGTTTGTAGCCTCTGGAGGACCTGAGGGAACATGCATGCTGTATGTAATGGTGGTGGAAGAAGTACTCTTCTTTGCTTAGGTAAAAGTAACATTAGCTACCCAGTGACATATAAAGTAGTTTTAAATGAGCTCAACCTTAAATATCTACGGCAGTGAAAAGCAACACACACATTAATATTTATCAGGAAACATCATATATATAACACTAAACTGACCGGGAACATTTTACTGCACAGTGAGTACTTTTACTCTTGAATGAATTAAGGGATCTAAGTACTTCTTACACCGCTGTTTGGAGGTACTTAACCTGAGAGTGTTCATTTCTTCCTCTACTCCACTAAATTTCAAATGAAATATTGTACTTTTCATTCCACTACAGATATATAGATACTTTACACATTAAGATTTTACACTAAAATGTATGATTATTTTTATAAAGTATGATGCACTGTAAAGAAGCAAAAAGTACAATATTTCTCTGTGATCTGTAGAGGAGTATAAGTATAAAAGAAAATGCAAATACTCAAGAAAAGTACAAGTTTCTCAAAACTGCATAAGATCGCCCTCTTGTGGGGGTGTTGAGAATGACTGTGAAGATATTTCCTTCTGGATGTGTAACTCACACTCATGTCTGTCTGCAGCTCTTTCTTCCAAACCTGCAGTGACAGTGGTAGACAAGTATTTAGACCCTTTATTTAAGTAAGAGTAGCAATACAGCTATGTAAAAATACATTTTGGACCCCTTTAGTGTTTAATATATTTATATTAGAAGATCATTATTTATTATTGCTGCATCGGTTAAGCTTGAGGTCATTTTAACTACTTTTTTTTATTTTATTTTCAGTTGGGAGGCAAAATCAGCAAAATCCCAATTTAAACCTATTTTCTGTCTATACTTGAGTCTTAAAAACCTTATTTCCTTAAAACAAGTGAAACAACTCTGTCAGTGCAGTAAAAATATTTCAACCTGTTTACAATATAAATAAACTTGTTTTAAAAATGTACAAAGAGTATCTTAAGACAAGCAAACAAAAGGACAAATGGCTGCACTAATATTCTGAAAAATCAAACATAATAAAAAAATACTTTAAAAACAGGTTAGATATTAATCTGACTTTAAAGACTTAAATTACTTGATAAGAGGGACATGTTAACTTAACAATGCATCATATTTTAGAAGCTTAATATATAATTTGTATGAAAAATTACCTGCAAAGTAACTACAGCTCAAATAAATCAATAAGTCAAATAAATGTAGTGCAGTAAAAAATACAATATGTCCCTCTAAAATTTGATTTTCTAAAATCATATATTTACAACCCCAACCTGCCTTATTATTTAAGTTACAGGTGCTCATTTCATCTTTAAACAATTTAAAAACAGTACTGTAGCCTACTATGAAATGAGGTTTTAGGACTCAATTATAGACAGAAATGTCTTTATAACTTTGAGGTTTTCTACTTACTTTGACTTTTAAAACAGTTTGCTGATAATACTTCATGCAGGGTTTTTACTTGTGACGTTTTTTACGTTGGTGTATTGCTAGTTTTAATTCAGTACAGGAGTAGGCCTACTTTTTTCCACCACTGTTGCTACATAAGCAGTTTACATAACGAAGGAGCTACAGAGAAGTCAGCCTAAGTTGTTTTGGGTGTGTGTGTCTGCAGGTTGAAGCCTTACTGTGACAGTGTTACACATCTCTTACGGAGAGAAAGTCTTGGTCCTGGATTCGCGTTCACAGATGCGTGAGCGTTTTTTCCCCTTATTCAGACCCGCAGGTTCGTGTCAGGTCACGTCTCGGCGGGGGTACACCCGTGAGTGCCACGGTGGCCGCGAGCAAAAAGGACCCCGTTGTCGTTATTTCTCAAAAAAAAAAATCTCTGCAAGACCTCAAAATCAAAACAAATCGACCACGCGTGCTTTTCCCGCAGCAATGACGTCACGTAAACCCTCCCCTTCCACCGCAAGTAAACAGAAAATATTGAGAGGAAACGTCCGTGTCAGCCGCCGTACGCGCGTTTGATGCGGGGCGTCTGCTGTGAGAGATGAAAGCGGACGTTAATGTGGCGTTTCCTGCGTGTTTTTAGCAAACTCGGGAGATTTTTTGGGGGAGGCAAGCTGACTGGCTCCAGCGCGATGAAGGGAGAGGCGGAAGTGAAGTCATTTGACAGAGCGTCCATGTTATTATTGTTATTTTGGTAGCCCTGTGATGAGACGGGCTGGGGAGCCGTTGGTCTCCGAGACACCGACCGTTAACGTTACCGCAGGGTGCCCCGGACCGACACGCCCTCACCACAACCACCACCCTACTGACCCGGAGACAGGGGCCTCGCTGACGGCTGGGTTGGGGGGGGAGGAGGGCGTGAGGACCCAGCTCCAGCTCGGCTCCTGCACTCCGGCAGACCAAAAATAAAACGGCACAAAAACAATAACGACGTTCGTCTAACGGCTCTACTGGTGTCTATGCGGCTTGTAGCAGAGACGTGCCGCCGCAGACATGAACGGTATCACCAAGGGCCGGTTCGAGGTATGACAGAGGGAGTGGACCACCAATGGTTAAACTGTTTGTTTCTAGTAGACGTGGGAGTCGTGGGCTTGTATAAGCAAAGTGTGTGTCTGTGTGTGCGTGTGGACGTGAGTGTGGTAGACCGTGCTCCTAATTTTACATGCAGTCGGGAGTCGAGCCGTTTTGTTGGTCAAGGGTAATCCGAAATCCTGTTATTGTCCTGCCGCACCAGTAGACAGCGACAACATGGAGCTCAGGACTGCGGGACAGGAGGGCTGTGGCCGAGGTAGTCAATATATCAGGGCCGAGGCTGGCACTGTCGCCTGAGGTTACAGGCTTTTCAGGAAGGGGGGACTGGGGCTGCAGATGGAGAGTAAATATAAACAGTGTAGCAGCATTCAATTAGTCATCACTTTGGGTTTGACAGATAACACTGCAAAACCTGTGACACCTGCTGTGATACCTGTGACTGACACATGCACAGCAGGGTTGGCTGGCTTTCTGAGAGTCGCTGGCACTCTACAGATGGTCCTTTTTGTGTTCAAGAGCCACTAGTAATTTTTAATATAGCATGACTGCTATGAATTGTCACATTTGTTTCCACAGCCTTTTCATATTTACATTATAATTTTTGCAAGAAAGTGGTAAACACATGCCAGCAGTCAACTGCAGTAGTGGAAGGAGCTGTCAGATCTTGTAAAAAATAAGTAAAACTAGCAATGTTTACAAGTGAAAATCCTGTATTAGCAGCAAAATGTACTGAAAGCATCTACAGTAAACTTACAATGAAGGCAGAATGATCCCAGTCAGTGTTATATTACTGGATGTTACTACTGATTCACATTTTACTACTTTATACACTGTTGGGTAGTTTAATTTATAACAAAATATCATATTTTAAAATGTGATTATCTGCTTTGTATTTAAGACACTAACTACAGCTGTCAACTACTAAAAGTACAATATTTGCCTCTTAGATGTAGTGGAGATAATGTATAAGTAACATAAAATACAAATACGTATTGTACATGTACCTCAAAACTTGAGTAAATGTCTTACTAATACTTCATCACTGCTCACCTGCATGACGTTTTACATATTCCTCTGATGTGCATCTTAGCTGATAAACCACTGATCCATGCTTAATACCTGTGGAATAATAATTACTGTGTTCTGTGTACAAACATTAAACCAGCTTCCGTACAGCTGGTCCCCTAAGCTGTGAGCATTGTTTATCTGAAATATCACCAGCACATTGTTGGGATTCTTGAGGGTTTGACTTGATGGTACTTGACTTTCTATGTCAGGTGTTCGGCCGCTGCAATTTGTCAGTAGTATGAACATATGTGTCTACGTGTGAGTGAGTGAGAACAGGAGGTGGTGCTGATGTGTGTTGCGATATCGGTGGATTTTCCAGCAGCGCCATAAGCTTCTTAGAAGCAGATATAAAGCAGTGTATGGTGGGAAACAAGCTGGTGTGTGTCAGAGAGAGAGAGAGTGAAGAATAGGGGATGGTAGAGTAAAACATGGGAGGGTTGACTTATAACACCAGAGATGATGCTTTAAAATAAACACCTGGCACAAGCCTCCTGTAGTTGTTGCATTGCAGGCCAGAAATTGAACATGTAATATGACATATAATGCTTTCACTAAACCTGAGCCAAGCAAGTTCAAGTTCAGATTTACATATCCACCCTGTTGTACACTGTCTAGGAATAGGAGTATGACTGCAGAGAGAGGAACTCCCTGCTTGGGAATGTTGCTCTGCTGGCACAGGGAATGAGGGCACCAGAACGCTGAGGCGATAACTTTAATGAAGCATGCGTACCAGAGATGGCTTTTTTAATGGCATACCTGTGGCTGAGGTTTCTCACTAAACACTGTGTTCCACCTGGCAACTTCTTTCCTGGGGTTTGAGTTGCGCAACTCTTAAGGAGGGAAATGGAGAATAGACTGTATGCAGGCTGTATGCCATCTTGTTGTCTATCAACAGTTTCGTCTATGGGTTATAGTGAAAAATGTCTATCAAAATGTCTTATCGCTCAAGGTAGGGCTGAACAATTAATCAAAATTTTATCGAAATCACAATATGGCCTACTGTAATTTTATTATGACAGTGGCACAATGTTTGTTATTTACAGGCGAAATGTGTGTCAAAATACCATTTTAATTTAAATACTGTTGCAGAGATGCCTACACATCATATTCTAGAGACTCAAGAAAAACAACTTTGTTTGTCACACCGTAATTCATTTTAATATGTTTTCAATGAAAATGAGAATAATGATCATTCCCCCTAGTTTTGCAAATCACATCACAATTGTCAAACAGTCAAAATAATCGCAATTAGATATTTTTTCAAAATCAAAACATCAGCAGTCCAAAACCCCAAAATATTCAATTTAGAAAGGATATTAGAGCAGCATTTATTGATTTATTGATTAGTCAATTTGTCAAGTGACAGAAACTGAAAAGGGAACTCTTTTGATAATCGATTAATTATTTAAGTCAGTTGTCAAGTAAAAAAATAAATATGGTTCCAGCTTCACAAATGTGTGATTTTGCTGCTTTCTCTTGTCTTATTCTGTGGTAAAGGTAATATATTTGGGTGTCGGTCTGCTGATTGATCAAAACAAGATATTTGATTAAATCACTTTAACCTCTAGGAAATTATGCTGGGCATTTTTATGACTATAAATTGAGAAAATGATCAGCAGATAACCAATAATGAAAATAACTATTAGCGGCGGCCCTAATTGATATAAAAGGAAGAATAGTAGCAGTAAATATTTGATATTTTTTCATGATAAATGAATAAAATCTTTTAACTGATTATAAAAATCATTAATGATTACATTTCTTTCAATCGACTAATGGATGAATTGTTTCAGCAGTAATCTGAGATGTCTGAATCTGAATGTGAAGTACTTTCAATATGTGGACAGTACCAGACTTGATGCCATTACACAGCAAATGTTATGCTTCAGTTGGAAAGTTAAACCACATCATGAAAATATGACCTTCTTTGCCAGTGCCATCATGTTCAGCCCACCGGGTCTAGATTGTGTGTATAGACCATGTGTCTGTTGAAGGAGAGGTCAAAGGTGAGTGATGTGTTACAGAGGTGGTTTGGAATTAAGTCTAAATTTAGTCCTAAATCCTAAACCACCTCTGGCTTTAGAGAGACACTGAGAAAATATACTGTAGGCCGTGTCTGTTGACAGTTCTCTTCCTACCATTCAGTATGTACAGTATTGTACAATTAAGGCAAATTTACTTTCACTTAACTCAGTTGACACGGCTCTAAATATAACTGAACCTGAAAGTCACATAGTGATGATAAATGCTTGGTCAAGTATTTATTCAGAGACTTTGTAGAACCATTATTAAACTTCCCATAGAGGCAGTTGGCCCTCGTGTTATTCAATACAAGGGTATGTGGGAACCAATGGTGGAAAACATTTTAACCGTATCCTGGAGCTATTATTGGAGATAGTTAACCAATAGGTTCAGATTGGTGTTTCAAACCACTGCTGTTACCCGAACATAGATGTTAAAATTTAAACCAGCTTAGTTAATCTTTTGCTGGAGCTTGACTGGACTGACTGTCTTTTTGACCCCTTTTCCTCTTAAAAGTCCTTTACTTCCTCATCACCCCCTTTCCACTCACTCTCTGATTTATAATGACTTTTGTACATGTTTTTCCTGTAGTCCTTGACTCTTGCACCATTTCTGTGTTAGCCTCTGTCTCTTACTTCCCCCTTCCTCCCTCTTTCCTCTCCCTCATTGCTTTCTCTTTCGAGGAGCCTGCGTCTGTCATGGTGCTAGCTGGAGCCAAGACGTTTTCAGAATCAACCTTTGCTCCTCCTGTGCCTTTCCCTGGGCTCCCCTTTTGTGTTTTCACATTTCGGTGTTTGAGTTTGCGTGCGACACAGCAGGGAGTCCCCCTCATTCGATACAGTTTCTGAGTCTTTGAGGATACAAGTGCATCACTAGCAAGGATGCGTGTCTGCAGAGGCACAGCAAATGTGGGTGTTTGCCGTAATTTAAATTCATGGCTGAATACAGCCCACCTGATCTAGAATGTTCTGCCTCTGTTCTTCACACAGAGAGGTCTGACTTGAATCACCTGCGAGCCTGTTACTGTGTGTGAGCGTGCCTGTGTGCATGTGCGTGTGTGTGTGTCCCACTCAGCAGATGGCCAGACATCCAGCGAGTAGACTAATTGAGATAAGCATGCCAACAAGCTGACCAGGCTAACAGAATTATAAGCTTGTAAGGAGGGGACGTGGAAAGCCAAATGTAGCTCTGGCTTGTTTATCAGCATACCTTTTTTTCTCACTAGTAACTGAAAATACATAGCAAGTTTGTATTTTTATTGAAGGATAGATTCACACTTATTTTCAAGTCTGTCATACACCAACACTCACATGCTTATGTGTACACCAAAAGTGTTTCTTGTCGACGTCGATTATTCCTCTTGTCCATACTGTGCTGCAAAGAGATTCCTTTCTAAAGTATTTTAAATGTAAGTGACAGGGTGACAAGTTAACTCCAGTTTAAGCCAATATGAGACTCCAGCAGTATGAGCTAGACAAATCAAATGGGTATCTTACAAAGTCACAGTCTTTTTAGTACCACATTTTCTTTGTGCGTCCACAGACATTGTTTCCTTGCTGAGCTGCGGTGGCGGGATTGTAACAAAAGAAGGGAAATTCATACTAAAAAGACTAACTCTGGAAGATATCCATTTGATTTGACTTGACTCAGACTACTGAAGCCTCATATTACTGTAGCTTCAGCTGCACTTTGTTGTTTTTGTTTTTTACACAGAAAGAGCGCTGTGGATTTTGTCCCCCCTCCCTTATACTGAAATTGCTTTAAGAAGTGAACTTTTTGTAGCAAGTTTGGACAAACTAATGTGACCAACAGTGCTTTTAATGTAATATGGGGATATGAGGATTGTTTTAAGACTTACTTCTCCTTTAAAACACATTTTGAGTTTGGAGAAAAACAAAATAATAATGTCCCCGACACTGATTCAGTTGTGTATGTTGTTGTGTTCGTGATGAAGATGATGATGCGCTGTGCTTTCTATGTTTTGATCTCTGTTGCCATTGTAGCAGCTTGTGTCTTGTTTCTTTCTCATTGCTCTTGACCACCTCAAACACACTCTCTTATTGTTGTTTATCTTTTGTCTCGGCAGGTGTTCTCAAACAGCGATGAAGCCCCCATTAATAAGAAGCTCCCCAAAGAGCTTCTTCTTAGGTAAGATTAATAATATCCCCCCTCCTCATTAGCTGAAGCAGCCTTGACCAGTCATTGTGTAGGTGTGTGTGTGTTTGTTTGTTTTGTCACCAGTTGTGTGTGTGTGTGTGTAGGTATCTGTTTTTTTAGTATGATGTATGTTGGTCACTAGTCTGCAATGAGGTCCTGTTAACCTTGTGACCTACAAACCAGTATTTTGTCCCACTTGACCCATAAATCTAATATCACTCACACATGTTCATCCTCCACACTGATTTATACATGGATCTGTGTGTGTGCATGTATGTTTGAAAGGGATGCACCTGCATGTCGCTGCACTACACTACTGCATGTGTGTGTATGTGTGTGTGTGTGTGTGTGTGTGTGTGTGTGTGTGTGTGTGTGTGTGTGAGAGAGAGAAAACGCTCCTGGTCCTATGCAAACTGTACGTCTGTGTTTGTGTGCTATAAATAGCTTGTCTTAGCTTGTGGGGAATTCCGCATTGCTGTGCTCTGCTGCTGCTCCAGCTGTGCTCCACAGAGATCACCAGTACACCCATTACTACCAGCACTGCTTTCACTGGTGGACAGAAAAATATGTACTCACATGCACTCGTTGGCTGCAACACATGACTTAGTGTCACATGTGTCATGTTGAGATGATGTTACACAACATCAGCTGTGAGGAAGACTCATTGTTACGTCTGTAAATCTTGTTTATAAACCATGGAAAGTGGGCCTTTATTTATAACTCAAGCATTTTGTCAATAAGATGACAAGAAATAATAAACAGGGCGTAATGTAAGGTATTTACATTGCTTGTTTTATTCAACCAACAGTCCGAAATGTAGATATAACAGAGAAAAGCCTCAAATCTTCACACTTGAGAAGCAGGAACCAGTGAATGTTTGCTACTAAATCTTGTAACGTGACTTGACTGAACGATTATTATATTATCAAAACTGCAGATGATTAATTTTATGTGGATCAAGTACTCAATAAATCAACTAAATGTAGAGTTTTAGAGGATAAACTCACTTTTTAGATAAACTGCTTACAACTCATAACAAGACATAAGGTGTCACCAGCCAGAAAAGATTTCGAACCACTGGAGAGGCTCAACCATGTGGTATTTTTGGCAAATATCCTGTGAGGAATAATGTGTTTTTTATTAATCAGTGTTCTCATTAGAGTTACTGTTTTGCATTGTAAACGGCCATGGATATAAACTGTTAGAACTGTGGCGTGATATAGAAGAACCCTGTCTGACAGACGAGCCTCGGAGAGAGTTTAGAGGGTCTTTTTACCCAGAAGTGCTGACTCGGCGCCTTCCCTACCACCGCCCAAATTCATGTCTAACCGGAGTTGCTATGGCAACCGTCCTTGACTCGCTGTGAAGGCTTGACTCTCTTATCTAGCCATGCTTGAAGGGCCAGGTATACATTTTGTCAACAAATAGGACTATGCGCCATTAAAATCTCATTATATACCATGTCATAAAAACATAGGCATACTCAGGCAGGATTTGACAGAGCAATCAAAGGATGCTAACTTAGTTTTTGTTCTGCCTGCGTTCAGAGGCAGCATTAGGGTAAAGTGAAAAACATACTCATGATGTTGTACCTCTGAATTTGGCTCTGTTGTATCACAGCCTACCCTTTCTGTTGTCCTTTCTTTGTCGCTGTCCATGTTAGTGATACAGCTATAATCACTGCCTGAATACAACAATCTGTCTTCATCTAAAACGTCAGGGCTGTTCTCAACTATTAGGCTTTTATTATCAAGTGCAAATGCCAAATAGGTTAACAGGACTCACCAAATCAGATTGAGTGATTGCTACTCTGTGAGTATGAGTAAAATAATAATTCTGTGGTAAAAGGCCTCTCTCTTTCACACATAATGGAAAGTCAGATTGTGTTTGATTAAAACAGACAGCCAATCAATGACCAGTGTCACAGCCATTAACCAGTTATTAGAAGGGAGATCGATGACCGCCTGCTTGCTTGGTCAGCTTCTCTGGTGGCCTTGCAATGACACCGAGGACTGTGTGTGTGTGTGTGTGTGTGTGTGTGTGTGTGTGTGTCCATGTGTTTGATGTGTGAGAGTGCATGTGTGTCGTGTGTGTGTGTGGGTGTCTTTGCATTGCTTTGTTGATTGTATGCATGTACTTCCTGACACAAGACTCCGGTATAGATTATACAGACATGCCCCAACATGCCCTGACCTAACACACATCAACACACGCAGCCTTTGTCTGCTTCTATATGAAGGAAACAATGGTCAGCTCCTGTTTCCGAGGGTTAAAAGGACATTCAGACCCCAGCTGCACTCAAAGCTTTGGCGCCATGACCATTCTTTGAATACCTCAAAGTTTCTATAGATTGGCTCTTTGAAGCACTTCTGTGAGTGGTAAAAGGCCATTTAATCACTGGGAGCTCAGATGAAGTATACAATACATGTATGTGCTTGAGGAGGTTTTATTGTATGTGTGTCCTCAGTATATGTATGTATGTCTGTCTGTCCCATGCTGTCTGTGGCCTTGCCTGTGTGAGTGAGTGCCAGAGATTACTCAATGGCAGATTAATGGATTGAGCTGACCCAGTAGCCTGCTGCATGCAGCCCTTTGTGGCTGACCGGCCCACAGCTCAAACACTGGCTGTCTGTGGGGCTCTCCTGCTACCGACCAAACACAGGAGATTGTTCTGTTTTCTACAGACACGCACAAAAAACATAAACTAAACATATATTAAATCACACAAAGGGAAAGATATTCAAGTATAAAGTTTAGGTGGAAAAAGTGAGACAAGCTCATGCTGTTCTTTTTGTGTCTCTTCGTAGAATATTCTCCTATCTAGATGTGGTTACTCTCTGTAGGTGTGCCCAAGTATCCAAGGTAAGCGCTTCCCTCTCTACACCTCCAAACCACCCACTGTAGACGAACACACTCATTGTTTCAAAAAGAATGTGTTGATGTAATTCTAAACTATTATGTGGTTGAATTAAAACCGGTTTACCATTATTGAATTCTCTAGAAATGTCTATAATGTAGTGCCATCTGCTGGTTATGTGGAAGTGGACCACTGTTTAGCAGCAGGGCACTGCAGCTGAAAGCCGTTTCTGAATGAGCTATCTGTGAATAATAACAAGGGCTTGGCACATTGACTGTGAATGCAGAGCTGTGGTGGCTGCTTCTTTTACAACAGCTCCAATGTATTTCTTTAAGGGAAATAAAGACAGCTGTGACTAAGCGATTTAGATTGTATATTTTTGATATATGTCGTTGTTGGTTATCTTGTAGGTGTTCTGTGTACCTAAATGTCCAACCATTGTTATGATTGGTCAGTCAATTATTTTCTCAATTAATCAATCATTTGTTTTGACTGTAAAGTATGAGACAACAGTGGAAAAATACCCATTATAATTTCCCAGAGCCCAAGGTGAGGTCTTCAGATGTCTGGTTTTGTCTGACCAACACTCCAAAACCCAAGGATTTTCAGTTTACAATGATATAAAACAGAGAAAAGAAGCAAATCCTCACATTAGAGGGGCTCCATGTGGTTGTAAGAAGTGATTAACAACAACTAGTGCGCCTGCTGCATGAACAAAGAAACAGAAAGTGGGCATTGTTCATGCGTATACCGAGCCAGACCCACAGAGTGCATTATAGGGGCAGTTGACCCAGAGTGTTCATTCATGTTTCCCGCATATTATGATAACAGAGTCCTCATTCACCTTCCCCCACCTCTGTCTGACCCACATGTCTGTCTCTGTCCACAACCTGTCTGTCACCCTCTCAGGCGTGGAATGTACTGGCTCTAGATGGCAGTAACTGGCAGAAGATTGACTTGTTCAACTTCCAGACAGACATAGAGGTGAGGGGTGTGTTTATGAGAGACAAAAAGAGAAGAGTGAAGCGGTAGAATGGACTGTGTGTGTGTGTGTGTGTGTGTGTGTGTGTGTGAGTGCATACTTGCCCATACGTGCTGCATGTGTATGCTTGTTGAGTAGTATTATCCAGCCCAAGGCTTAGTGCTGGGTCAGTACACTTTGGTGCCGACTGTGACGTCACAGCTGATCCTCTCTCTCTCTCTCTCTCTCTCTCTCTCTCTCTCTCTCTCTCTCTCTCTCTCTCTCCTCTCTCTCTCTCTCTTCTCTCTCTCTCTCTCGTGCCTGTGTCTCTCAGGGGCGGGTGGTGGAGAACATTTCGAAGCGTTGTGGAGGCTTCTTGAGGCAGCTGAGCCTCAGGGGCTGCCTGAGTGTGGGAGACGCCTCCATGAAGTGAGATTCTCATTGTCTCTGAGTGTGGTGCTCTTTTGACTTTTACTGAAACTCACTCTCTTGGTGGTTTGATAACTTATTGTTTTGTTCACATGTGATTAGTTTAAAGTTTATGCGGCTTGTTCCTCTTCAGTCCCAGGGGAGTGTGTGGTAGAAACGCTTTTTTTAAATTCTATTTAATCTCAGTTTACTGTGCATGTACACAAATACACGCACACATGCATATACAAAACAAAAAAACAAAGGTGATGTAATTTTATTTTATATAAAACTTGTACATCTTGATCTGTTCATTCACACGGTTTGACAAGATTTTATCGGCTGCTGTGGAAACAGATTTAAAGAGGTACAAGCTGTTATTTGGAGAATCAGGCTTTCATAAAAAAAAGAAATGAACGAAGCTGTACAACAACCTCTCAAGGGCCTGTAGATGACTTTGTTAATTGGCTTCCCAGCAGCTCCCAGCTTCTGACTTCTTATTTATTCAATGAAGCGACTCTTGAGTAATTCCCCACCTCTCACTCTCTACTGTTTCGACTGTTTCCCAGGACATTTGCTCAGAACTGCAGAAACATCGAAGTGTTGAACCTGAACGGCTGCACCAAGATCACAGACAGCACTTGTCTCAGTCTCAGCAAGTTTTGCTCCAAACTCAAACAGCTGGATCTCACCTCCTGTGTGTCCGTCAGCAACCACTCCCTCAAGGCCCTCAGGTAGCACCCGCACACTTGGTATTGCCCTGGCTACTTAAACCCAAATCCCACATAACAGAACCCCTTAAAGAAAATAGTTCTCAATTCCTCCTTAAGCCCTTACACATTGTGCACACAGTTTTTTTGTTGAACTCTTAAACAAATAATAAATGTACACAGGTGTAATTTAAGACACATGCCCTGTGTGTTTTGTCTTCATCTTCATTGTTAATGTGTGTGCATGCTCAGTGATGGCTGCAGAATGCTGGAGATGTTGAACCTGTCGTGGTGTGACCAGATCACACGTGATGGCATTGAGGCTCTGGCTAGAGGCTGCAACGGTATACGAGCACTGTTCCTCAGAGGCTGTACACAGGTACGGTGGCAGCAGTGGTTGCGCACACACACACATGCACGCCAGAGCAAGGGATTTTTCTTTCAGTGGGCATATCAGGCCTTCTTTATAGGATTTTAAGGCATTTTGACCCTGTTCCAAGTGCTACTATTTAAAAGGAGTATTGCCTGATTTTTTTTTTTTAATACATTTTTTATTTTCCCGTGCAAGACGTTGTTGTGTGACCTGCTGCCAGAGGACACTGTTCACTACAATTTACTGTAAACCGGGTTCTCTGTTGGTGAAGACAGCTCAAAAATGTTAAAACTACAGAAAACTCAAAAAAATACCTATAAATTCCCTATTATTAAAAAACATAACCACAAGCCACACTGCTTCCCTACTGCTGAAAAATGACTTACTGAAGAGAAATGTGCCCTTTTCCCTACTTGCTGTTCCAAACACAGTACATTTTCCATCCCACGGATTGGTCTGTTGATGTAGTGGTTTGTGTTGGGTGTTGGCATTTTTTTTCTGTTGCCCCTCTAGAACCAATATTTTCTTCAGGCTGTGTGCTCAGTTTTTGTTTGCATAACCAGTGTCTAGTCTGTTTTTTTCCCTGGAAAAAATACCATGAACCCCCCACGGATCATCTTTTGAGGCTCACGGGGGACAGTAGTCACACGTGGATTGAATTAACTAATTGGAAAAACAGGCACGGAATTGAACAAAGGTTTCTCCTGTTTACTCGGGGGACGTTCAGAGTCTTTCACAAGCCACTGTTGATTATTAGAAGATACATCAACACACATAAACAGTCACATACATTACAGTATATAGATTATATATCCAGGTGTTTGATTAACAATTCTGTGCATTTCTCTTAACCCAGCTGGATGATGGAGCATTGAAACACCTTCAGAAACACTGCCCAGAACTCACCACCATCAATATGCAGTCTTGCACAGTAAGACAAACCATTTGGATGTGGATACTGGGAGAGACTGATAATAAGGCATGAGGGATGTGTCTGTATGCCTCTGTGTTTTTGTAATTTGTTGTGGTGTTTGTTGCCTCCAGCAAATAACAGATGAAGGTCTGGTCAATCTGTGCCGAGGATGCCACAAGCTACAGATCCTTTGTGTGTCTGGCTGTAGTAAC